AACTAATGGCCACTTCTATAGATGAGGAGCGTTTATGTCAGTGAAATACTCTAGCTTTTGTAATTTCTGGCAGATGCTGCCTTGCGTTTGTCTCATGGAATCTCCATTTTACATGCCTCAAATTTTAGTTGCTTCTGTGTTAAAGGGAGGGGGTTCCCTCATTGTTCTCCACCCCCAGTTATCACCCTAGGGTTACCACTCTATGTATATGCCAATTTTCCCCCCTGGCTGGCCACCTTGCATCAAAGAAAGGCCAATGTAGCTCATAAAGACTTTTTAATCAAAGGGACGTTAGCTTTACTACATGGTAAATCTCTATACCCATATAACCACTTTAAAAGTTCTTTAATATATATCTTCATTGGATGGGTTTTAGTGTTTTTTCTTTCACATCTACTCTGTTGCAACACAAATTATTTTCTCAAGCACTTTTGTTTTACTAATAACTTGAGTTCTATCAAATCAATGAACAAACCTGTATATTTTTGAGTCTTTTGAGCACCAAGGAACTTCTGCAAGGAACAGCACTGGTTTTCATCAAACCAACAAGCAAACATAGATATTTTCTTTGATAAATTATTTTTGCATGCTTTTTCTTGAGATTTGTAAGTTTTCTATTCTTATCTCTCTTTTTATCTTTCAAATAGAACAAAACTTTTATTATATAAAATGTTCTCATAACAAAGTGTATTTTTTATACTTACAGCCTTTTTAATGTTTTTCTCTGTCTCATTTATTATAAATCTTTTATGACAAACTTGGCTGCAGTTGCTTGGATTTTTAAGTGTTCCTCTTTTTTTTTATTCTGTTGTCAGATTGTCACATTTTAAACTTAACTGTCTTCCAACAGACTTAGACCTAACCTTGAATTAATGTTTTTATCAACAGATAGCAGTGAGGAGAGCAAGTTAACTCTATAATTACAATTTTAAAATTTGCAATGTATAAGAAAAGCTTTAAGCACCAAGTAAACAAAAACATCAACTCAAATTGGGAACCAAAAGTAACATTTATCAATTAGCTAAACTTTGTAATCTCCCCACCCCCAGTACTGGGACTCGAACTCAGGACCTTGTAGATACCAAGCACCACTGAGCTATACCCAGGCCCTAACCTCTGTAATTTGATTCCTCCTATAAAACCTCTCTATGCCCAGCAAGATTCAGCTTTTTAACTTTGACTATTCAGCTCCAGGCTGGAGCTTCTCTAGTTTTTAGACATCTGCAGGCTGTGCCAGGCTGGTAAAGCTAAGCAAGCACTGGCCTAGAAAACCAAAACCAGGGGCATCCTTCACACGGTATCTGTGCTTTCTGGTGCCTTGAAATGAAAGTTTGATCCTTGCTTTGGCATTTTAGCCTTGGCTGTTGCAGCTGGGTCTAAGTCTGTCTGCCTTGCACCTTCATCTCAGCACAGCTGCCGTACCAACTGGACACTCAGGTGTTCTTTGAGTTTTGGCCGCCATCTGGGCAGGTCTCTGTCATCACTCTGTTTCACTGCGCACCTTTTTAAAAATCATCTTATGCCCCACTTGTACATTCCAGCACACTAAAGCTAAGAGGGTTTTTACATGTCTTTACCCTTTACAGTGCAAATCACTCTGTTTTGTTTTTAGACCTATTGCATCACCTTCCTCTCCAAGTATCCAGCTGTTCTCAGGTGACCTTGGACTCACACACTTTACTACACTCACTTGTACACAATTATATACTTTTCTCACACCCTCTCAACTCACACACTTTATTTTGTTCACTCACACACACTCATATACTTCACCTATCTCATTTTTTAAGCCTGATTGTAGCTTTAGCCTAACTCCCTCTGACTCTGGCTACTCTGTAGGCATGGGTATGAGTTTTGTCTGACTCTGCCTGTCTGACTACTTGTCATACCCCTTTTGCAAGTCACTCTCATTACAGGCCTATCCTTCAAGATGTTAGAAAGCAACTCCTGCCATGGGTCACCCTCACATTCTATGTGGGGTTGTAGGCTTTGTCCAACTCAGTCCAGATTGGAGCCACTGTGAGTCTCTCCCAAGGTGGGCCACCCCCACGTCTCCAGTACCCCATTTGCTGATTCTGGTTGTAGGACCCTCCAGCTCAGCGTAGTTGTGTGGTTTGCTTTAACCCAAGTCAAATTACTCAGTGCTCCCCAGGAAATGATCAGCTGTTCTGAGTGGGACAGTGGGCCAGGTTCCCTCTGGTAATGTGCCATTGCTCCAGAATCATCCTGAATCCCGACAGCTTCCATTGTGCTGGGGGAGGGTCTGGGGTGTGGGAGGACTGACACACACCCCTGAGCTGCAGTCTCACCCAGTGGTGCCAAAGGTGGGCAGGATTCCTGCAACTTGAGCCCCTCAGGCCTGAAGGCAAAGGAGACTGCAATTCTGTCATCGCCAGTCCCTTCTTGCTTGCCGTAAATGTTGCAGAATTCCCAGAGAAAGGAGAGAACAAATGGGAGTTAGGAGGATTTATTTAAGGTGTATACACTGTCTCAGAAGACTGTGTTTAAAATGGCTGAGTGTTGAACAGAGAAATTTCAGTTTTTATATATTTTATTGAAGGCAGTGGTTTTTCTAGTGAGTTTACTGGAACAGAATAAAGGCAGACAGTTTTGTGACTTTGCCTTGAAAGAAATGTCTTATGAATCATATGAGAACAGAGTATCTTAAACTTTGTTTACAGGTTATGGTTGTTCATTTTATCTGTACCAGAACAAGGAGTTACAGCTACATGGGTGAACGGAGTTGGAGGGGGGAACTGCCTCAGACTGGAAAGGACTCATTTTTCTTTAAGTCCTGCTTCTGTAGAAGTTATGAGACTATGTACCTTCCATGCTGTGGTAGATTAAAAATCAGTACATGTTCCTGGTACACTTTCCAGAGAGCTGGTGGAAACTCCTCTTTCCTTGAATTCAAGATGGCCTTAGTAGGTGCATGACCTGCTTCTGAAGCCCAATGATAGGATGGTTTCCAACTTCCTTGAAACTTTCTCTTTGAGAGCACTGTGCTGCCATGTAAGAAATCAAACTAGTTAGAGAACACCATGCTCAAGAAAAAACTGGCAGATGCTCCAGTTGACTGTCCGGGTGACAGTGATCTTCCAGTTATTCCTCATAGGTGAAGAGAACAGGGAAAAGCTATCTTGGGAGTTCCAGACCAGCTAATTATCACCAAGTACCCTTACATGGTACTAGAAAAACAGAAGCATCACCCTATCAAACTCTGTTCAAATTCCTGTCCCCCAATTTTGATGTGTGATAAAGCGGTGATTGACTTAAGCTAACAAATTTTGCAAATACTTTGCCAGCAGCAATAAACAACTGAAACATAGGTTTACTATTATGACACATTCCTATAAAATTGATTGGATTTTATTGCAACTCATCCGAACTCTCTGATTAGTTTGTACTAAGAAGTATTACTGAGGGTCAGAATTTAGCTCAGTGGTTCTGCCGCCTGCCTCACAAGTGTAAGGTCCCAAGTTCCATGCCCAGTACTTTTTGTCTTGTTTTGTTTTTGTTTTTGTTTAGTATCCAATCTGCTATTCTAAATTGACACATTTACTTTGGGGAAGTGTCCTATCAATTGCAATATTTTAACTTCTCCTTTTATTTGCCCTGATCAGTCATGGGATAACACCTAAGTCCTAAGGATCTTTAAAAGGTTAGCTAGTAAATAAGAATGCTAGTCAGAAAATAAATGTCCTAAACCAAACATATAAACATTTTACTCTTATTCTAATATCTTCCAGTTATTTCAAATTAAATCAAATCTAAACTTGCTTGGCAAAGTCTTGTCTTCCTGGTACGCTCCCAATTTATGTCTCAAACCTTACTACTCAGATTTTCCTAGGATTCTCACAGATTAATGGTTCTAGACTACTGTTATGTGTTGAAATAAACCCTAACAAAAGGGTATGTTGAAGTTCTAAGCCCTAGTGATTCAGAATGTGGCTTTATTTGGAAGTAGGTTCTTAATACAGGTAATAAGGTATAAAATAAGGTCATGAAGGTAGGTGCTAATCCACTATGACTGGACTTATAAAAAAGGAATTGGCTGCTGGGGATTTAGTTCAGCGGTTCTGCCACCTGCCATGCAAGCTCAAGGACCAGAGTTCGATCCTCCCCAGTACCAAAAAAAAAAAAAGAATTGACTTGAAAGGATAGAAAGGAAAGTTCATAGAAAGAAGGAGCTGTCTATAAGATGAGGAATACCCGAAGCTACTAGAATGTAGGAAAGAAACATGGAACAATTTCTTTTCTCATACCTTGGGAGAGTTCTGAACTTGAGACTTGTGAGATATTTTATTGTTTTCATCTGCACGGTTTTGTGATACTTTTTTATGGCAGTCCAAGGAAACTAGTAAAACAACCAATTTCCTCCTAAGTTTCATGCTTGTCATCTTCTCTTTAAAAAGTATGAAATATAATATATGAAACATCTCAGAATTTTGGAAAGAGGAGAAAACAATTAAGATTTTTTTTCATAAAAACAAAGCCATTTGATTTAGGCACTGTATGATATGTGGGCTTCAGCAGGAAAAACATGGGTAGAATTTCTGAGATAGAGGATATTTGAGGCAAGGCTATAAACCAGGGACATGTCGTTCATTTTTAAAAGAAAAATGTTTGTGCCTTTACTTTTGTATTGGACCTGTACAGTGAATTCCAAAAAATTATTTTTGATGGATGTTTAGTTAAGTATTCTCATTCTTTTTCTTATTAAGTTTTTTTTCTCTCATTGAGTTTATTGGTACATCTTAAGTATACAGTTACATTCATCATTGGGATCTTGCACCTTTACATGACAAGTCTTGGTTCTCATTTTTTCCCCTTGTCCCTGCCCTCCCTTCACCCTCTCCTCCCCTCCCTATTTACAAACACTTCATTTCTATTTTCTCATATTTTTTTCTTTTCCCTTATTACATTAAGTTTATTGATACTTTTCAGATATATTGTACAGTTACATTCATCATTGGAATCTTGTACCTTTACATGATGTATCTTGGTTCTTACTAAGTATTCTTATTCTAGAAGGAAGAACATATAAAAAGAATTCTAGTCACTTGCATTAGTATTCTATACTAAGACTTCTTGCAAGAAATCTTTTGTAAAGTACAGAAGTATTTGGTTGTTTTCTAGAATGGGTATTCTAAAACTTGGAATTCACCAAGTCATGAAAATTTTAAAGAGCAGGAATCATGATAAGGCTATCAACATCTTATTTTGCCCCAGTTTTTGCTAAAAACTTTATCATCATTAATTCATTAAGGATGTATTTCAACAACAAAAAGGAACATTGATTATCTTTTAAATATATTAGATATTTAAGAACATAAATATCTTTGTGAGAAACATCCTACATTGCCTTTCTTTTCTCCCTAAAGATTAGAGGGAAGAACCTATGTTGTTAGGGCTGGGAAACTCTGCTTTAAAATGAAACACATGGAGGGTTTCTACTCAGTGTGTCAGCGTTCCTGCCACCAGCTAACTGGGAAGTTGATTGTGCTAGAAAGAATGTATTTTACTTAATAGGTTTCCTTATAGGCAAGTCTGAAAAATAAGAAATCACAGCTATTACAAAGACTTTCTAGTTTCTGTTGAGAAATTGGCATTTTGGGGGGAGGTTAGTTTACTTGTTTCTGCACGAGACTATACTTTTTTTTTTTTTTTTTTTTTTTTTTTTGTCAAAAGTACCACTACAGTCTGGAAGCATTAAAGGTGCCCTGGACTGAGAAGAAAGGCATCTAGATCTATCTAGCCTCTGTGTGGGAATTGCCCCCATCTCCTCTCTATTTTTTGTCTTTTCCTTAAAGATTATAAATATATTCTTAACATAAAGAAAACAACTAATTAAATAAAATAAAACTAAATAAGTACACTAACAGTTAAAGGAGGTGAAATACTCTTAAAATCTGCTATAGTTTAAAATAAAAAGATCGTTAATGCAAGTAGAAGCACTCATTATGACAAAAGCTAGCCAGTGCCCTGGGTGGGGTTCCTCCACGGGAAGAACTTCACAGTGAAGAGTGAATAGGGCTCAAGGTGAAGGCCAGCTCTGAGCTGTCTTCCTTCCCACTGCAGTCGGAACCTCGGAGCAGAGATGTGAACCATGTGCTCCAACTCCCTTGAACTTCTGTAACTCTTTAAGCATCCTATGTTTTTAATTTCTGAACCTTGCAGTTGTTTTCTTTTCACGCCCCTTCCCCATTTCTTTGCCCTAGGCAAACATCTATGTACTCTGATCAGAAAGGCACTGATTTTTTTTTTCTTACTGTACTCCAGAGATCATTTTTCCAGATATACATCAGGTCACCTCATTCCCACTACAGTTCTCTGGGGTGCTTTCTGTTACTGTCAAAATCTCACCTCACAGATGAGAAAATTAAGGAACAGAGAGACTTGCAACTTGTGCTGGGGCACTATGCTAATAACTTGAATCTAGATCTCTGTTTACATATTCTTGGCTACCCTGATGTTCTCTCCCTTTATCATTCTGTCAAAATTAATAAATTTTAACAGTGCATAATGTTGATCAAAGTATTTCTAGAGATTATGTTCTATACTAAATTTGTAGAAGTCCCCATTTATATTAAATCTTAAAATTCCTGAGTGACAGAATTTAATATTTTCACATTTTATATTTTTTTCACTTTCAAATCTACTATAATTTATAAAAAGTTGATTAGAGTAAAATCCCACATAAAATAAATGTAAATAGATAGGTTTGCAAAGTTAAAAATATCAATTTTTTCCATGAGTGTAGTACATGCTTTTTCTCTGCCTCTTTCTATTAAAATGAAAGCTTCCAAATATTTCTAATATTTCTGTTTTCTCTTTGGCAATGGACTGTGCTTTCTCTATTAACAAGGCACTTTAGCTGCTTATTAAAGATAATACATTATCCTATGATTGTCTTTATGATTTTTAGTGTTTAAGCAAGTAAATACTATATTAAAGCAGCAAATTAAATTTTGTTTCTGTCCATGAGTTCATTTATGTAATAAATGTCTATCTTTGCCAAGTACAGTATTAGACAGAAGACAAATTCCTGCCCTTCAGAACCCACACTAGTAAACACATGGAAAAGCAATGATTTTAGATCAGTGAGACAGCTGATCTGCAGGAATTGGCATAACATCATAACAGAAAAAGACATGGAGGATGATGGGAAATATGTAAAGCCTTCGTGGACAGGAGATAATCTACACCCTGCTTCTAGAGAACGTCCTTTTCCTCACAGCAGACTGAAATCACTGATCATTTGCCAGAGGGTTGTTGCTAGCGTTCTGCCTATACAGAAAGATAGGCAGGCAAATGCCCACCTTTCTCAGTTGTCTGGTTTCTCCCTTTCTGTAACTGCAAAACATTTCAATAGAGTAAGCTCCATAACTGACTGTCCGAGGGAAAAAGGGTATGAACATAGAACCAGTTCAAAGGCTGTGCTTCCTGAGCGTGTTCTCACAGACAACATACATCTGGTCTAATAGACATTTGAAGGGACTCAAGAAAAGCCTTGAGAATCCAAGTGTCATTGATACCCTCTAATTACCAGGCAGAACTTCTTAGAGGTTTTTTGTTTTTTTTTTCATTTCTAAAACTCATTGCTTAGTGTTTCTTTCCTGGTCTGTGGGCACAGTGTCTCCAAATGAGTACTTTTGTGAGACTGCAGCGTAAGTGACTAAGAAAGTTATCCTAAATTTGTAAATACTGTGGAGACCACACATGAAATGGAGATACCAAACAAACAGCAAGACAGATTGTTGTATCCAATCCTTATGTAAGGTTACATTGATTCCATCTTCTGGCTCTCTAGTGTAATAAACTGGGGAAAAAATCCAGAAGGCACTCATTTTAAATTTCATGAAAACTTCTAAGAGTGGGAGAGAAAAATTTTTTGCAATGCTCTTTGGTTCTATTAGAAGCTATATTTGTGAAGCGATTCTGCAAACGCAGCAGTTGAATAAATCATCTGAGAATTGAAAGTCAATCAAACAATGAACAAACAGTCCCCAAAGGATACTATGTTCTTTTCATAAGGCACAAGAAAGAGAGAATTGGAAGGAATCAAAGACATTGGGCTTATGCTGTAGATGTTTAGGGGGTTTCCAATCACTTTATATTTTTGTAAAAGAAAATCTTACTGGTGATTAGCTCTTGCCTCATGTTGACAGTTGACAAATAAGAATTGCAAGGTCCCATTTCAGAGCAGACAGTGTGGAGCCCTCTTCAGAAGCATTTTCAAATTAGAATGACAGAGCTTCACAAGCATTCTTGGCAGTAAAGGATGAATACTAATGTTTGAAGAAAACAATAAACTACCTCTACAGGCTTTCACCACCACCACACCATACTGCAACAGTAAACATTGGCCTCCTGCAGTTGGACTCTTTGTTTCCTGGACTTTGGCCCTCATACATAGAAGATGCACAATAGTGAAACCCTTGCTAGCATGACTGGACAGTTGTCTGAGTCCAAACAGGTAAACATTCATACATTGACATATACTCAATACAAGTAACTTTTTAAAAATTTAAATGGAACTGAGTAGTATCAGGTAAGACAACATGGCAGAAAGATTTGAAGCAGATCTACATAATAATTCTGTCTCTGTTCCTTTTGCGTAATTTTGGAGAAATAACTTAGTCTTCGCCTATAAGATAGAGATTAAAATTATCAGCAAATAAAAAATTTGACAGGACTGTACAAAATCAAGTACTTGACAACAGGAGCTCTTAGTTGAAGGTGACTATATTTATGATTACTTTGTGAATATTTTCATGTCTCACCAGGAGATAATTTGTTGAAAGTTTGCAAGCCAAGGTGTTATTCTGTCTATGCATTAAACAGTGAAGAGGGACTACTGTAGGAGAAAGCTTAAACAAAATCTGATTCTGGACTGGCTGTGCCATTGCTTGTATGACCTTGGAAAGGTGCTTGATTGCACCAATCTCTTAATTAACATGGAAATCATAGTTATACCTACCTTATAGGGTTTTGTGAGAATTAAAGGAATTTTTTGGTAAAGTTTTTGGCATCATTTCTGGATCAAATAGTTTCAGCAACTTTTAACCTTGTGATGCATTTTCTTGGTCTCAATGATGAGCAATTCTAGAAAGAGAAGAGAATCCTAAATGTCTGACCCTCAAAAAGAAGAAGAAATTACAGAGTATATATAAATTGAATTCAAAGAAATCAAAGCCATAAAATATGAATATGCATGTAGAAAATACACAAAATAATACTATGAAAACCTTGATAGATTAAAAGGAAGTCTTAAAAACAGATCCTCATCTAACAAACACACTATATGCATTAAGGATTCTGCATTGTTATAGCATTTAATAAATTATCAATATTAATTTATGTAATACTAGCCAACCTACAAGACAACTACTGTTTTTATATTAATTTTAAGGACAGAAAACTTGAGAATAGAGAGGTTAAGTAATATAATAGCACAGATTAATGAGCCAAAATTTGAAAAAAGTAAATGTTTCAATGTTTATGCTTTTATCTATTTTATTGATCAAAAAATTTACACTTTTATAAGAACATGGTTATAATAAAAATTATTGGATATCTCTTAAGTATGAATGTGGAAGACAATTTTGACAATATGCTTGAAAAAATTGAATAATTTGACAGTTTCATTCAGAATGTTCAACTTTCATAATAAGTTTAAAGATACAATGTGACTTCTCTTAACAAAAATTTTTATCTTAACAAAAATAATGAAAAATATAAGTTGATTAAATGTTCAAAATATGATGCTTCATAATCTCTTAAAACTCCAGGGTACTGAATTTTTTCTTAGTGTGAAATGAATATCATCATCTAATAATAAAACCTTAAACACACATTTTTTTCTTAAGCTACGTGCCCTAGGACATTATCCAATAGGACTTTCAAAATCCATGGAAATGATTTGCATTTGCATTATACCTTATGGTAACTACCAGATGCATATGACTATCTCACATCTAAGATGTGGTTAGTGAAATTAAATTTTATTTAATTAAATTTAAATAACTGTGTACGGCTGGTGGTTATAATATTGGACAGTGTTTAGGAAAAGTTAATTAAATGTTTATTATTTTGGACTTCTCTCTGGGCCTTTGCAGCTTGTTCGAGTATGAAATCCTTTCAACCACTCTATTATTCACTCATTTATTAACTACCGTAAGAATTTTGCATGCCCCTCTTGGTACTAATTTCCGCAGACTCACTTGATACCAAGACAGCCATGCTTCCTGACCTCAGAATATATGTATTTTTGGAGAAATATAGATACTTTCTTTTCTCTATATTGTATTACACATCCTTTATTTCACAGAAGACTACTAAGAAAGAAAAAGATGGGTTCTCTATGCATCTTGTGGTATGGTGAAATTTTATGTTGATAAACTGCTTTGTTTCATATCACATCTTTGTCCACTGTGTGCTTAATCCTTCCAGAACTCTTCCTCTAGGCTAAAAATAGAATTTTTTTAGCGGGTTTCTCTTCCTGAGATGATAAGGACTATTTGATATTTTAGAGCATAACATATGAGAAAATAGGAACTGGGGATACTAAAGATTTTATACTCGAATTCAATAAAAGTTCTCTCTTCCATTGACAGTGAGAATGCTCCCCCTACTAGCTAAAATTCACAAAAGGAAGCCCAATGTGTTTTAAAATTCAACTTTTACTGAGTATCTATGACGTATCACTTATTGATTTAGGTCTTTGTCTTTCTCAAAACCCAAAATTACACACACTCCAAAAAGAAATAACCACATGATTCACTTTACTAGAAATCATAGTTTCACCAATTGTCTGAAAACATTTGGTAGAAAATGACAGCATCCACATTTGAGGATAGAATAACACTTGCATCCTCTTCTCACTTAAAACATATACAAAGGGAATATTTTTGTGTCTCTAAAACTGTGCTCAGTCTGATGACAAAGAAAAAGATATAATTACAATCATGGCTATAAAATATATTAAAAATACATGCAATTTCTGTGTTGCACACAAGTAAATACATCAACCAATGTGAAACTATAATTGGTTATAGGGTTGTTGCATGTACAGAAGCCCAGATACATGGTTTCCAAGGGTCCTTGAAATGCTCTCATGTGGACCAGGATTCTACATTCCATTTGCACAAAGAGCAGGTTCAAAACCTGTGACTCTCATGGAACAGTTTTGTTAGCATGAGCAAATAATTGAGACCCTCCAAGCTTCCTTTCCTCAGCGAAGTAAGGCAAAATGCTCCTCACTTAAATAATATGAAAATTACAGTAATGAACAAGGTCTGACACTATGACTGCTTGTGATAGACATTTAATAAATGCTAGATTGATTAATGGATCATTGTTGGGGGAATATATTTGTTGCTAAAGTAAATAAAATAGACCAAGGTTTTGTATTGTAGCATCAGAAAGTAGTTCTTCTAGAGCAGTGTAATCTAGTAAGCACTTGCTTCATATGGAGAGCAGGAGAGAAACCACGTGGTGTTCTCAGTGCTTATGATAGAGAGAGCACCAAGGGTTGACTCTAAAGGGAAGACAAACTGCAATAAAATCTTAAATAATCCTAATAGTTACAAACCCTTTGCCCCTATCTATATTGTTAGCGATATTTCTGATTATTCATTTTTTTTACCTAGATAAAAAAATGCAGATACATTTATGCTGCACCTGAGGTATTTGTGGTCAAATGATGAAATGGCATTGTCTCCAGTCTGTGTCTCAAGGTTGCTGAGGCTAAAAGTAAGGAGCCTCTCCCACCCAGTTTCCAGATTACTGACTCCTGTCCCAGAAAAAGAATCTTCAGGAAATGTCAGTAAGGGACATGAGAAGGTTTTATTAGATAGAAATTTTAGAATGCATTGAAAAGTGGAGTGTAGGCACTCAGAAAAGTGAAACACATCAGGAGCCAGAGCTGGGCATATTTAAAGGGATCTCTTCAAATGGGCATGTCTTCTCGTTCGTATATTGCTGCTTGCTTGGAAATGGAAGAAGCACAATTTACAGGTGAAAAGGATAGGTCTGGAGCCTAGATTTATAGGCTTATTGTCTTTAAGACTTAGGAAAAATATTTTTTTCCCTGAGTTTCCTGGACAGGAAAAAGACTGAAGTAACCTTGTGTTGTGAACCTGCATTTAAGTAGAACTTTAAAATCTCAAAGCCTGTGCCTCTTTTCTACCTAGTCTTTATTTCTTCTATCCTACCTCAGCATCACCAAGTCTATTTCACTGTAAACTTAAAGGGTACTGAGAGATAAATTTAGAGACTGCTGAGAATTTAAGGGACCATCACCGTCTCACAGAAGCAAAATTGTAGAGAGCATGGAGAGATAAACTAAGAGGGTGCTGAGAGTCCTGCCAATGCTTCCCAGAAGTGAGGCTGAAATGAAACTTAAGCACAGCTCTGTTAGTTGTGCTGCATGTTATCTCCACGAATGCCATTTGCACTGTTTTGCAACTCTTAGTGAAGCCATTCATCCTAACCACACTTGTTACCATGTTTGTTTATTTACTGAGAAATGATATGATCTTATTATTTTGGGGACTTCATATCAATTGCGTCTGATTGGAAGACACTTTTGTTCCATGCAAATGGAATCCTCCTCCCCAGTGTATTTCAGATATGGTCTACTTTCTTACAACATAGCTCATCCTGTACTTGCAGAATCACACAACATTACCGAACCAACAAAACAACCTGTTCCTGGTGTTGTAAATGTCACATAAACATTCCAATCTAAGGCTGGGGATTTAGATCAGTGGCATCGTCACCTGCCTTGAAAGTGCAAGGTCCTGAGTTAGATCCCTGATTTAAAAAAAAAAAATCAACCTATTCCAAAGAACAACAGTTCAGTGCTAAGGTCATAATACCTTTGACAGCTTCATCCTATGCTAAAATTAATAACAGAGCTTTGTGTGCAGGAAATCCTGTACTTGCTATACATTCTATGGAAAAAAATCAAGAAATCAAAAATCTGGATGAGAATAAATTATCATCAATCCATGATGAGCTCCAGAAGTGACTCTTTGGTAAATGGGACACAAATATTAACTATTTTTTCCTATCACTTTCTAATTAAGTAATAAACAGTAATCAAGGGCATTAAAGCTTGGAGTCTGATCTTCTAAACCACTTTGGACATGAGCAAGCTCAGCAGACCATGAATTTTAAGGCAATTACAGGCATAACTCTCAAGTGATTTACAGGACACAGCTTTGTAATACAACCTTTTTTGTTTTTGTTTTTGTTTTTTTCCAAAAGAAGTTAAATCCTGCCATAGTGGTATGAAAAGATCAATTCCTCAGGATAAGAAATAATTTTTCAGTTCACTTTTGTGAAGGGAGGTTTTCTTTGATTATATTCAAAGTTGAACAAGTATGCTGCAGCATGCTTTTTGTTTTTCATGATTTCCTCATGATAATGTTGAGGTTACTTTAGCAGGGAATGGTAAACTGATAAGTATAATTGCTGTAATCACAGGATGTATGGGATGTAAATATTTGCAGGGCAATTAAAAATTATTTGCCTCTTTAGCTTAACATAAAAAGGCATCTCTGAACAGCAACCAAAAGATTAAACCAAATGCACAGAAAAGATTTCTAAGTGGCAAGAATATGAAATGATTTATCAAGCATTCATTCTGTGGTTTGGTCACATGTGAATGCAGAAGGAAAAGCAAAATACTGTGGATCAGGAGAAATGTGTCATCAAATAACTAAAAATAAATCTCAAAAGAACACCCTGGGGTTATAAGTGATCACAGTGTGGGGCATTGTCAATTATCCTTTCGAGCTGGCACATTGTTTGGGGCAGTGTCTCACTAGCAAGTTGTTACTGAAACAAGCCAAAGGGCTTTGCCTCATTCATTAAATACTTGGACTTGGAGGATGGTAATCAAAATAAACCATGCCAGTTTACCACCATCAAATAGTGGGAGTTTTTCTGTGGACTAAACTTTTCTTTTCACCCTTAACTGAGTCATACATGAAGACTTCCTATTTCCCATTCCATATTCCAAGTAATATTTTGATTTTTTACATCATAAATTTCTGTACATATTTTAATCTTTATTGTCACCAGGGACAGTGCAAAGT